GTAAAGAAAACAAAAATCATCACCACTGGACCAATAAACAACATTCTTATCAACAGAGAAAAGATTGAAGTTGTCAAGGACTTCTTTATTCTTGGATCAACTATCAACACTCATGCAAGCAGCAGTCAAGAAATCAAACGACGTATTGCATTAGGCAAATCTGCTGCACAAGACCTTTTTAAAGTGTTGAAGAGCCAAGATGTCAGCTTGAGGAGTAAGGTGTGCCTGACCCAAGCCATGGTATTTTCAATAACCTCATATGCATCCGAAAGGTGGACACTGAATAAGGAAGACCGTATAAGAATTGATGCATTTGAATGATGGTGTTGGAGAATATTGAAAGTGCCATGGGCTGCCAAAAGAACCAATAGATCCGTTTTGGAAGAAGTGCAGCCAGAGTGCTCCTTTAGAGGCCAAGATGGCCAAACTTCGTCTCTCATACTTTGGACATATTGTCAGGAAGGAGGAGTCACTGGAGAAGGATATCATGTTTGGTAAAGTAGAGGGTCAGAGAAAAAGAGGAAGACCCCCAACGAGATGGATTGGCTAAGTGGCAGCATTGATGGACTCAAGCGTGGCAACAGTAGTGAGGTTCGCCCAGGATCGGGCAGTGTTTCGTTCTGTTGTACATAAGGTCACTATGGGTCGGCACCAACTCGATGGCACCTAACAACAATCTGTTAGACAGTCTCCAAGGTGCTGGGAATTCAAACGTGAGTGGTCCCTAACCTGGAAGAAACTGCCATTCAGTATAAGGGAAATGGCAATAGGCAAACAGGTGTCTAATGTGATTTCAGATGATAATAAGACTGTTGATAAACATGAAGCAGGATAGGAGACAGAGAAGACGGTAATTCTCTGTATGAGGTTATCTGGGGAGTGATGGTTGATAAAAGATAGGAGTGAAATGAGGGAGCAAGAATTGCCTAGCGGAAGAGCAGTCAGGAACAAAACAAAACAGTAAGTGCAAAGTCTCTGTTTGACGGGATCCAAAAGAAGAAAGGAAAGCAGAAAATGCCCTGCCTACTTTAATTTCTTGCATCTCTGCATAGTTGAAGGATAATATGAATAATGGTGCTACGATTTGACAAGTACTGAAAAGCAAAGATGCCGTTATGATGGGAGATGAACAAAGTCTAGTCTTTGCTCTTGATTTATTCATAGACCAGTCGGGGAACCAACCCTAAACAGTCAAACTATAAACAGCCACAAGATTCCATGGTGGGTGCTCATTGTAGATAAAAGGAGGCTGCTGTGAGAGCCCAGGTGAACATGTACTTGGGCTTTAGCAGTATTTCAGTAAACTTTTGTTGAATGCATACATAAATCAATATCTAGACCTCTTTTTAAAAAAGAATGTCAAGCTCTTATACATCTATTAGATGTCTTGAAGACCACAGATAATTTCAGCCTACATAAAGAAACAAGACAGAGTGCTTCAAACAAATGTCCAGAAAAATATAGTACTGGAATGGTATCAGAACTAACTGATAAGCAATTTAATAAAATAATTGTATTTGGGAACCATCAACCGATTGAGAGAATGATCAATAAAACTGCAGATCAAATCAAGAACAACAGGCAAAACTTTAGACAAATTCAAGAAAACACTACAAGAAAAAGATTTACAAAATAAATTAAAAATTGGAAACTATACAAAAACAGTAAATAAAAAACCAAAAGATTAATATTAAGACTTCAGAATTAAAGACTATGTTGAAAGGGCAAAGCAGAATTGAATCAATGGAAGTCTGAATTAGTGAGTTTACAGACAAATCTTTCAATACTTATTTGTAAGAAGAATGATCAGAAATAAAAAAAAATCCTAACAAAATCTAAGATTTATGTGGGAAATGGGATAACTGAAGTGTGATTGGAATTCCAGAACAAGAAGAGACAAAAAAAAAAAATGTCCAAGAGTTGTTGGAAGAAAACATCGCTTAACATCCTGAAAGATGAAAATATAGGCATTCAAGAAGTTGAACAAACTTCAATCAGGATGTTGTTGTTAAGTGCCATTGAGTCGATTCAGACCCCCAGCGACTCTGTATAGTATTTCCAAGGAGCAGCTGGTAAGCTTGAACCACCAACTTTGCAGTTCAAACAACTTTGCAGTCTGATACATTAGCCCACAGTGCCACACCAGGACTCCTAGACCCCCAAAAAAGAAAGTCACCAAGACATAATTAAATTTTATATAACCCAAAGGCAAGGATAAAATACTGAGAGCAGATCAGAAAAAACTGAAAAGTTACCTACAAAGGGGAACTAATAAGATTGAGCTCTGATTTCTGAGCAGAACCCATGCACTGAAGAAGACAATGGGATGACATATATAAAACTCTGAAAGAAAAAATTACCAACCAAAAATCATATACCCAGCAGAATTGGCCATGAAATATGATGTCAAAATATAGTTATATTTCCAAATAAATAGAATTTAAAAGAATTTATAAAATCAGACCAACCTTATAAAAATTCTTAAGGGAGTTCTTTGTACAGAGAACCAACAATAGACAACCACCTGAGATTAACATACATAATAATATCACCCAGAACTCAACCCAGGTATAGAACTGCTGACCACAAGGTCATCATTTTAAACCCACCAACTGCTCTTCCGAAACCCTATACAGGGTTGCTATAAACTTTGTTGTTATGTGTTGTCAGGGCTGTTCCAACGCATAGCAACCCTGTATAGTAGAGTTTCTGAGGAGCAGTGGGTGGGTTTAGACTGCTGACCTTGCAGTTAGCAATCCAGTGTTTAATTTACAGCACCACACTAGGACTCCAAAACAAACCTACCAGACTGAAAATAGGGAACTAGCAATAATAGTTTGCAACAAAAACTTCACTATGTAAAAAGAGAATGATACAGTTACACAACTTCCAAATGAAGAGGAAATCAAATAGACTTCAAGAAAAGATAATAAATATAAATTTAACAGTAACACTAAAATTAACCTAAGCCTTACCCTTAACTCTACCCTGAACATTAACATTGTTTTTAAAGTGCTGTCAAATCTGTTCCGACTCATAACAACCCTATATAGGGTTTCCAAGGAGCGGCTGGTGAGTTTGAACCTCTGA